AAGGATGCATTTCAGCAGGTCCCCTTTTTGAGGCTCCATATTGGGGTCCCCCTATTTATGGAAACTACAAGGGGTTCAAGACTTGGGAGTTCAGATGCGAACAGGATCTTATCAAGCTCCCAACGCGCGTCTGTTTTGAGTACTGGATTCTAGCTAGAACTCCCCCCATTATATGCCCACATTTCTTTCGCTTTGAAAGCTTTCAAGGGTCTTGGGTTAGCAAAGGGGTTGCGTAGTGTGAAGATTGAGGTTCGAGCGTTTCCTAGAGACTGGCGGAGCCTTTTTTTTGAGAGATCTACGTTCACAGGATGTTGGTGTAAGGTTTAGGGTGACGCCTAATGTCTGAAAGGCCTCCTCAGGTCAAGCTTCTTTAAAATCATGATGAAAAACCACTGAAGAGATCTCTATGTAACCCTAGAAACCACCTACATAACCCCTAAACCCTAAACCACTCGACTGTAAACCAAACCCTAAACCCTAAACCCTTTTTTTAACCTCATGATAGGCCAAACCTTGCATCATCTTGAATGCTGGAATGAGGAGAGGTGAGAGGCACCAAATTCCTGCGCTTCCGGAAGAGTATCATGTTCAGACATGGGAGTTTCAAAACATGTACTTAAAACCCTAAGGGTCCAAGGATCCGAAGATTAGGGCATTAGGTCCCAAATACAATTCGGATGACAGTGTTTGGGCCCTGAAGCCTCCTTGTTCGAGCCCTTGAAGCCTTAGAGTAAGTGAGGGGCCCCATCCCAATTTTGTAGTGTCTGGCCCGGCACATGGGCCCAGAGAAGATAGGAAAAAAGGAAAAATGTAGAGGACTAAACAGTTAAGCAATTACCGAATGTCAGGGTTCTGGATTCCTTCTAATTATGGTACAAGGTACCTCAAATGAGGGTTTAGGGTTTAGGGAAGATCCAAATTGGTCTTGGTGATTCCGTATCCGAGCACTTTGGACCTTTCGGGTGCTCCTTTGGGGCGGGGGTCGGAAGCCTACTGGGGATGATTCGGAAATCCCAGGTCATTCAAGTTGATGCCCTTTTTTTATAGGGATAATGGAAACTATAGGAAGCATAGGGAACATATAGGGTTTAGAGGGATTATCGGGATGTTTTGTGCTGTCGTTTCAACGGAGCTTAGCAAGATCAAAGACTGCTCGTTTGGCATTGTCAGCACCCCGCATCCAAATCCTAACTGAAAGCCACGTAGTTGAGGATTCTCTACGTTTCAATCAAGTCCTTGAAGCATCCTTCTAGCTACAGGAAGATTGGGGCTTCCCAATTGCGCTCTAGTATGGCAGGTGTGTATGTGGGGTCTGCCCTGGGAGGGACTGGATACTTCGGGCAGTTCCCTGTGCAGACCACAGGACCAAGAAGAAAAATTAGCACCTCCTCGGAGAAGCCCGATACAATCCACCAATTTACCCAGGTACAGGCCTTAATTCATGCGTGCCACACTCCAAATCCAATGCCAATGCCGCTCAGCCCAACCCCCGCACCCCTGTGTCCCTGAGCAGCATAACTCGGGCCAGCCACCACTAATCTCCCTGGTGCTTAGTAGGGAATGGTGGAATGGATCCCTATAGTAGTCCCTATATAATCCCCAACAATAATCCCCATAATCCATTCCCCCATTCCCTCCTAAGCAACAGGTACCTGGGATTTGGGTTATAGTAATTGTAGTGCAGGTTTTGGGTAAGTATATGATGATTAGGTACTTGGACCCTGAGAGAACAGTGTGACACTGGGAGGGCATAAGGACCCGAATTTGATTACTGATATTCCTTGTGGTCACCATCAGAAGATGAGGGATCATGCCTGCAGCCTTGACAGGACTCCCTCGGGACCGTGTGTTCCCAAAAGATCCAGATGTTTAAGGGTTTAGGGTTTAGGGTTTTAGGGTTTAGGGTTTAGGGGCCAATTCTCTGAGATGACAGCACTTGGACCTTCGGGGTTAGCTTTCACTCTGCATTCAGTCAGACTGTAGGGGGCTATGTTGATGGGATTGTTGGTGGAACTCACTCATGTCATGATGTACAGCGCAAGCTCTAAACCCTGCAAGGCATAGCCCCTCCAAACCTATCTGCACCCCCGATTCCCTTAGTGGTTATTATCCCCTGGTCAATAGGTATACTCCGTAGAACTGTTGGTAAGTGGGGTGACAGGTTCTCTTGTGGCCTGTCTCGGTGCGGCGAGCGTGTGGCGCAACTCTAAGACAGCTTTAGTCGCCTTCGGGGAAAGGCATCCAGTTTATGTTTGAGGCTTATGGGGATTATATCGGGGGGTTATATAGGGGAATGGGGGGTTATTCAGGCGAAACTAGGATTACTAGGATCGTCAGCACCGGAATAATTCGAATGAGGCTTTGGGGTGTATGATGTTGTCGAATGGGACTGAGACATCTTTTTGGCTGGGCGGGCCTGTGGCTTTTAAGTTACACTGTACCTGAGCTAAGCCCAATAACCGTATGTTGACTTCATTTTCTTCCTATAACGAGAATGGTGTCCATTTAGGTTTGGGGGAATATAATTTGCTAATCAGCCACCAAAACTTCTGTATTCATCCTACAGGTGGAAAACTTTCTTACCCGTCCAGGCCTCGACACGTGGCTTTGTGCTCTGGGCGTTTTAGGTCAACTCCAAATAGAGTGCATATGCGGGCTGGGAATTCAGGCTTAAAGCTTAAGCTTCAGGGTATGCAGTCGCTCTTAAGCCGGAGCCTGCTGCATTTAGGGTTCAGGCCTGAGGGTGGAAAGAGTTGAGGCTTCAGCGTTTGGAGCTCGGTTGCCCCATGAATAGGAGCGGGCGGCTGGGAACTGAAAGCGGCTGTATGCAACAGTTAAGAGTGTGTTAAAAGGGCGGGCGGGGCGTGAGGGACCCGAAGTATTTATGTGGAAGTATCCATGGGTTGCTCCTCCAGGAAGCAATTTTGATCATGCCTGCGGTGTACCTACAGATCAGTAGCTTATCCAGTACTTCTTGTAAGTTTTTTTTTTTTTCATCTGCGAAGCTGCAGGCAAGTAGAGTCACAGGTAGGGTTTAGGATGAATGGATTAGTGATCTAGGTTTCTCCCTAAACCCTAAACCCTAGATGGGTGCAATGCATTCCTAAGCAAGAACCTTGGCCAAATCTGACCAACACGTCCTGGGCACGTCAAGAGGATCCTCAGTCCAAAGTCTCCGGGCTTAGGGTTTAGGTGCCAGTTACTGCATGCATTTATGTTTGTATGTGTATATGCATGTATGTATGTTAGTATGTATGCATGCATGTATGTATGTATGTATGTACGTATGTATGTATGGATAGTACTATCCTAATGTCTTATAGTCTTATATTAAAGATCGAAATGCTATAGTCCTTCTTATTAGGGGTTGTACAAAAACCCCGTTCCTATTTGCTTGACCCGAAATGAATGTTATCGTTTTTTTCCTCTTATCGTTTTTGCATCTACAACCCTCATTTTAACATAACAATACAATTGGGAGCATATTGTCTTAGAAACTGTCCTAGCCCAGACAAAGGTTCGGCAGGGTTGAAAGATTAGGGCTTCTAGACCGACGGAGGCATTTAGCGGGGTGGCTGACCAATGCCTTTTGCAA